TCTGGTGCCCCGCAATAAATCATGCTATATAAAAGGTAAAGTCGTTGCCCATGCTGGCTTGTGGTTGGCACGGTTAATGTTTCACAACTGAAACTCGTGAACCGTCTTTAATTGTCATGAGCACGACCATCAAAACCATGTGCTCACAATCCACCATTATCAAGTTTTAGTTGGCACATTAATTAATTAACCAATCACGATTAGCCATCATGAGCTACAATTAAATATCCATCATTAAGTGATAGTGAAACATTAGTTATCCCAATCATGTGCTAATGTTTCTAAGCATGGCTAAGCAATTATATTTAATATCTAGCTGAACCAATATATAAGTCCAACTAGTCAAATTGTCACCCATGGTATCAAAGAATTAAGTAAGCAATGCAAAGTGGTCATAACAAAGGAATAGGTTCACACCACCCGGTGACATTCCAAAAATAAATGCATGGTTGAAATAAATAGAGAATTTAAATATAGGATCAACATGCTCAAAGGAATTGTGTTTGGGATCCGTGTGACTTGCCTTGCAATATTCGGTCTTCAATTAATCTTCTTGGATACTTCCAACGCACTCACGAACCTTCAAAACGACGGAAACGACAAGCTAACCTGCAGAACGAGGAAAACACTAAGAAACTCCAAATAAACAGTACATATAAAGTAAACAAACATGTAGATCATGATTTTAGATGAATTAGAGTCAAACTAGTCCCGGTTCGGATGACTTATCTCTATCGGGTGTATTCTAAAAGCCCGTCACGGATGACTAATCTCTAATGGGTAGGACTCTATAGCCCGTCACGGATGAGTTATCTCTTTCGGGCATTAGCTAAATGTCCGTCAAGGATGAGTTTAGAACAAAAAAAATAAAATTTGGCTTTTTGGCTAGCCTCAGGCCTTTGCTAGCCATGCCCGCTGCAAAAATGACAGAAGCATATATATACATAGTCCCATTCCCAGCAACCCCATTCCCAGCATCAATTCACAAATTCCATCACAGCCATTTCATATAGACCCATTCCCAGCATCACATCAGCCAATTCACATTCATATTCCATCATAGCACAGCCAATTCACAAAATCAAACACATATACATTCACATCCACAACCCATTCACATATATATCATTCACATCCATTTTTCTCTCCAAACCGCCGACATGCATCAAAACCTGCAAAAATAAGTTATAAATTGGAACAATTTTATATGTAACTAGAAATGCAAGTATACAGAGACGAGCTACCTAGGACTTTACTCTAAAGAATATAATTGTATTACAAAGAATATTTACAAAAATCAAATGTTTGTCACATATGCATTGCGAATGTTCTGCCATTGCGAGACGAGCTACCTAGGACTTCACTCTAAACATCCCTTTCAATGACAAGATATCATCTAGTATGAATTGTGCTAGCTCCTCTCTAATGATTTCGAAGTTGATTTCCGGAATCCTTCAAATAAATTTCTGCACGTTCGGCGCCAACATCGTCCACCTCTGTTATGGTGTAGACTTCCTTAGGAATTTTATTCTGGGTCCTAGGATTCCGGCTCGATGTAGTCCCAGTAGTGGTCGTCGACATCGGTTCGCCTTGCTGCGACATGTCCTATGTCACTGTTGTACGGGGAGAAAGTACTTTTTAAACACAAAATTGCATCTACACACATTCTCTTATGGTTTGATATACCTCTATCTCCTACCTACGTTCGCCTCGTCGACGAAACCATAGCATCCATACTCAATAGGGCCGGAGCAGCCGGGAACTCGACCTCGACATCAGTATACCACTCGAACTTGCTATCAATGTCACTTGGTGCTGGCCTTGGAGTTATATTGATCTCAATGCTGTGCTTGGGCCATTGAATAAAGTTCCCACGTGCAGCCCCAAGGGTCAGAATCTCGTCATTAGGTGGGTGTAGGATAGTGTAGCCAACCCAATCGGGCTTCACTAAGTCCACCTGAACTTTGGCATTGCCGGCTTGCAGCTGCGCCCCATGCACTCGGGTCTCTGGGTAGGCTTGAATGCTTGACCCTCTGCGGCAGGAATTGCAAATCCTGGTGTCACCCTAACGACTAGGGTACACGATGTGGGTTCCTGCGATTGATTCATTAGTGTCCTTAGTATATGTTGCAATGTATTGTGGTGCTAATATAATATATACGTTATTAAGTTGTTTCTACCATTATGTGGTCCACCGCGGCGGGGCCTTCAGGCTGTTCTGCCGGAGCCTCAGTTGATGCGCAGCTGCTACGCCTCTGCGTGGGGCTCACTTGTACTACGGGACCGGGAGTGGCATCGGTCGACCTATCCCTGATGCGTGCCTCCATCCGAGCCTTCATACCTAACAGCTCGGCAGTGACCTCTTCTCTAAGCTCTTCTTTAAGCTCCTATCGAAGTTGGGCCTTAATGCGTGCAGCTTTCTGCGCCTTGGAAAGCTTGTGCTTCTTGTACTGCCACGCATATTGGGGAAACCCAAACTTCCATGGAACATTGGAGCCAATGCCCCTTGTTCGTCCACGGTGTTCTTCGTTTCCCAATGCTTTCGTGAGGATGTCATCCTCGCGTTTTTGTGAGCAAACCTCTTGGGAGGCCTGTCTCTCAGCATTCAGTTCGACCTAGAGTACAGTTAGGATGCGTTAGACGAACAACAAGATACAACATAATGAAACTTATTCTATGTGTTCAACATACGATTTTCTGGTACACCGCTTGATCTTCGGGATTTGGGAACGAAAGAGTTCCGTCACTATTCTTCTTCACCCTTGCCCTTGCCCAGTTCCTTGCCCGCTAGACCGGGATATCAGCAAGCACTGGTTGGGTGTTAGATTCCGCTGTAGCTTCATCCTCCTTGTCCCATTCTGCCTGTTTCCCCGCGTAGCCTCCGGTGCCAAGCCGGTGCAGGTGAAGGTTCCTTGCCTGCAGATCACGGTAGGTCTGGCTTTTTTCCTGAGACTCTTTCGTTGATTTGGCGGCATGGAACTCATCCCACACGGGTTTGGTGATGAATGGGTATTTCACAAATGGTTCTGGCTGGGCAGGGTTGAGGACGTACTCCGTGACTAGCGTTGTCTTGAAATTTTTCCAACAATTCCCCATCTTGCGGATAGCCTGCCGCTTCAGTCCTACCTTGGCCTCTGTAGGGTATCGGAAGCTTTCCTTGAACTTCCTCCATGCCTCTTCTTTTTCTTCTTGAGGGACCAGATCGATGTGGTCCTTCAGAATAGTGAAGTTCCGCCTCCCTAGGACTCCGCATATCGTAGGGAACTTTTTGACAGCTTTCGTCGGAGCCGTCGGATATCCAACATCGTCCATCTCTGTTATGGTGTAGACTTCCTTAGGAATCTTATTCTGGGTCCTAGGATTCCGGCTCGATGTAGTCCCAGTAGTGGCCGTCGACATCGGTTCGCCTTGCTGTGACATGTCCTATGTCACTGTTGTACGGGGAGAAAGTACTTTTTAAACACAAAATTGCATCTACACACATTCTCTTATGGTTTGATATACCTCTATCTCCTACCTACGTTCGCCTCATCGACGAAACCATAGCATCCATACTCAATAGGGCCGGAGCAGCCGGGAACTCGACCTCGACATCAGTATACCACTCGAACTTGCTATCAATGTCACTAACATAAGATAGTGGCAACGGTAGCAAGTTCTAGTGGGATATGGATGTCGAGGTCGAGATCCCGTCTGCTCCGGCCCTAAGGAATATGGTTGCTACACACAGACAACCAAAACCCTAACAACGTGCATCTTCTTGTTTGCAGGGTCTTTTATGTAGAAAATCTGTTCGACCTGCTTCGCTAGTACGAATGGTTCGTCTGCGTATCCAACCTTGGCCAGGTCCACTAATGTGAAGCCTTCCTTGTCGACCTTGACACCTCTGCGGATATTCACCCAACTGCAACAAAACAAAGGGACTTTGAAGTTCAGATAGTTCAGCTCCCATATCTGCTCTATGCGGCCATAGTATGTGCTTGATCCAGCCTGATCCTGATATGCATCTATACGGAGTCCACTGTTTTGCACTGTGCTTTTCTCATCTTGTGTGACGGTGTAAAATGTGTATCCATTGATATTGTACCCTTGCCATGTGTTAACATCCCAAGATGGACCCCTTGCCAACCTTTGTAATATCTCACTTGGGCCATCGGTCGACCGTGCTACATGATCCTTCAACCATTCGTTGAAGCGAAAACCATGTTCTCTGTTGATCCAAATATCTGATCGACCAATATTGTCCTGTCAGACCTTCGCTAAATGCTCCTCAAAGTATGGGGTTACTTCAGCCATATGTTGCAGCACTGCGAAATGAGCCTGCGCATAGGAAGCTTGATCGGGAACAATTCTTTTTCTGCCAGTTGTGCCAACACTTGCCAACCTTCCTTCGTGGCGAGACGTAGGAACTCCGATAGGATTAGTCTCAGCCATGTAATCGATACAAAACTCAATGGCTTCCTCGGTCATGTAACCTTCAATGATGCTCCCCTCTGGTTTTGCTCTGTTCCGAACGTAGGACTTCAGAATTCCCATGTACCTCTCGAATGGCCACATTTCTCTCATAAAAGCTGGCCCACATATTTTTTTTGCTTCACTAGGTGAATAGTGAGATGAACCATGGTATCGAAGAAAGCTAGTGGAAAATACATCTCCAACTGACACAGGGTACTGACAATATCGGCCTGCAACCCATCTAGGTCTTCTGGATCTATAATCTTCTGACCGATTGCATTGAAGAAGGCACAAACCCGTTGGATCATGTGACGGACTTGTGGTGGTAGAATGCCTCTTATAGCAATTGGCAAGATCTGTGTGATTAGCACGTGGCAATCGTGAGACTTCATTCCAACCAGCTTAAGATCCTCCAATTTAACGTACTTACTTATTTTCGCGCAATAGCCCGAAGGAACTTTAATATCCGCCAGACATGATAGCATTGCGATCTTCTCATCCTTCGACAATGTGTGGCAAGCTGGTGGGAGGTACACTCTTCCCGTCTACACATCTGTAACAGGCTGAAGTTCACTGCGAATGTTCATCTCCTGTAGATCGAGACGCGCATTCAACCCGTCCTTTGTCTTGCCAGGCATATTCAACAATAGCCCCAGCAAGCTATCGCACACATTCTTCTCTACGTGCATCAGATCAATGCAATGACGGACCTCAAGATCTTCCCAATAAGGTAGCCGCCAAAATATGGATTTTTTCTTCCACATCCTCTTCTTGTCCTCCTTACTATGTTTTCTTTTCTTATCAAACTCATTAGTAATGTCCTTCACCATGTTGTGTACCTGATCTCCGGACAAATCCACAGGGGCAGACCCAAGTTCTTTCTTACCATTGAAAATTTTCTTCTTTCTTCTAAAGGCGTGCCGTAGGGGGAGCCATCTCCTATGACCCATGTAAACCATCTTTCTTGATTTCTTTAGCCACCTACTGCATGTATGTTCCATACAGTCAGAGCATGCCTTCTTTCCGTTCACGATTTGTCCAAAAAGATTACCCAGCGCGGGATAATCATTAATGGTGCAGAACAATAGAACTCGTAGTGTGAAGTTCTCCTGACCATATGCATCCCAAGTTTCCACACCCACTTTCCACAGAATCTCAAGGTCATCGATAACAGGCTCCAAGAACAAATTGATGTCATTGCCGGGTTGTCTCGGACCTTGGATTAACAAGCACAACATAATATATTTTCTTTTGAAGCACAACCATGGCTGGAGGTTAAAGTTCGCAATGAGAACTGGCCAAGTGCTGTGAGAACTGCTCATGTCTCCGAAAGGATTCATGCCATCCGTACACAAACATATCATCATGTTTCTGGGGTCGGCAGCAAAGTCTTTGTGCTTTCGATCGATATTCCTCCATTGAATCGAATCCGCAGGGTCTCTTAGCAAACCGTCATTCCTTCTCTCTGTGGCATGCCAACGTACTAACTTTGCTTCATTGGGGTTGGCAAATATTCTCTTGAAACGATCAATGATTGGTAGATACCACACAACCTTCGCTGGACCACCCCACTTTGACTTCTTTCCCTCGCCCGCGCTCTTCTTTCGCTTGTATCGAGAATCCTTGCAGACACGACAAGCATCTAAGTCCGCGTATTGCTTGTGGTACAATATGCAATCGTTTGGACATGCGTGAATTCTCCGGACCTCTAACCCTAGGGGACACAGAAACTGTTTTGCTTCATATGTCGTCTCGGGCAATGTGTTCTCCTGAGGAAGCATGTCCTTCAGTATTCCCAAAAGTTCTGTAAAACTCTTGTTTGATCATCCATTACTAGCCTTCAACTTCATTAGGTCTAATGTTGCTGATAATTTGGTGTGTTTTGGCTTGCATCCTACGTATAGGAGGAGTCTCCGAGTCACTAACCAACCTGCTGAACTTCATGGAATCTCTCTCGTTCATAGCTGGGTCATCAACGTCACGTAACATATCTTGCAGCATATCAGGGTCCACATCAACCATTTCACCGCCCAATGGAGATGGGACAAACATGTCATGCTCTTCTTCATCTCCTTCTTCATGAATGTCTGTACCACTTCCGTCTGCAGCTGCACCATCAGTACCCAGATCTTGCTCTCCATGCATCACCCAACATGTGTATCTCTCCATGAATCCCCGGCGTATCAAGTGAGCGTGTACTTACTTTTCATCTTCCCACAAAATCTCATTCCTGCAATCGCTACATGGACAACACATGTACTTGTCGTTTCTTCTTATCCTATTCTCCTCTGCGGCTTTCATAAAACTTAATATGCCATCTCTATACTCCTTGTACTGACGCCTCAAGCCAGTCGTGTACATCCAACTCCGATCTATCGCTGAACAATGAACAAAATATTAGTTAACATCTCATAACATAAGTACTACTAAATTAATAGGAAATATTTAGTAGCCTTTTACTTACTTTTATGATTTTCCTGTTTTTGTTTGCAAAAAAAATTACAAAAATTCGCCCCCTTCAACCTCCCACCAAAATAGTGAACAGTGGGATAAACTACAGTCAATGGACTGCTGGAGTATATATAGTGTGCAAAGTATATCTCAATCGGGCCAAAAAAATGTCATCTCTAACGGGCGCACACTAATCTCTAACGGGCACAAATAGAAGCCCGACACCTATAAGAGTCATCGGTGACGGGCATTAAGGCCATCTCAATCGGGCCTTCTTTGGAGCCCGTCACCGATGACACTCATCTGTGACGGGCTCAGTATTTGGGCCCGATTGAGATAGTGGAGGTCATCTCAATTGGGCCTAACTTCGAGCTCGTCACAGATGGGTCATCGGTGACGGGCTATAGGAATATGCACCCCGACGAGTACATCTACAACGGCAAAAATTTAGGCCCGATTGAGATGACTTCGTTCTAACGGCCCACGTTGTCTAGGCATGTGATGAGCCATCACAGATGAGAGGATCTGTACTAGTGGACGGGAGATGCTCCAGGTTTCATTTGTCCCGATCTTCATCTAATTTCATCTTTTAGATCGTGACCAGATATTTGGTATTTGAGAACACGTACGTAAATTTGTTTTCCAATCAAGTTTAGTTTTTTTATGCCACCATCTAATCTTCGTAATTACCAATAATACTCAATCATATTAATCACTAATGGTTTGTGTAAGCAGAATAATCACGCGTACACGTATGGCAGAGCCTCTACAGACGTCAAAAGAGCTAGCTTTCTTTGGGATCAAACTAGCTTGCTACACACATAGGCTGTTGATATCGCTTCCATTGCACTAAAGATGATTAGAGCAAGTTCAATAGTAATCTATAGCCAATGTAATAGCCAATTTATACAATAGTTGTTTACTATACTATTAATACCTGTTTCTACTTATCATACATACATTACATCTTAAAGTCCGTGCTACAGCTGGTTACAGATCTGTAGCCCGCTGCTATTCTCTCTCTTTTTTTATCTTTTTAAAATATGTTTATAGCTGGCTTATAGCCTGCTATTTTACATGCTCTTACACAGGTTGATAGGCTGCTGATATGTTTGGCCATATGTCTGATAGTTTAATCCGTTGCACTGAAGAGGATTTATTCGTGAGTCGACGTACACATCCGTAGATTACATGCACAGGTATTTCGTCGAATGTGCAAGTTCTATTCAACACAGATTTTTGTAACACACCAGCCAACCACGTACCTAGAGTGCCACACCAAGCATACACTCAAACCACTAACTCCCAAAATTATTAGAAATTTTGGCAGAGTCTCCGCTGTAAATACGGACATCCACGACAGGAAATTATAAGTTTAACTAATAACAATATCATTCCCACAATACGATCCATCCTTATAATCATGGGGAAGAAACTATTAGAAATCTAAAAGATTATTACAAAACCGAACCATGATATAGTTTAAGTATTATTATGGATCTAGGCAATATAGTTTGATAGTGTGCAGATAAATGTGTATATAAGGGTGCTACGTCCCGCCCATGCATGTCGGTCTCAATATGTACCTAAAACCAAATAAAACACAAGAGTATAAAAATACTCGGCAAGTACAATATGGAACTAGAAACACATATACACATCATTGGCAATAAAGCATGAACAGAAGGTTTTCTTTCTTTGATAGGAAACACATTTTCAAATACCAAGTCAAAGAAGATAGTAGTTCCCATTCCGGGCTGGCATGAATTGAAATAGTAGTTTCTATCCCGGACAATAGTGAATACATCCTAACATTTGCCGGCAAAGCCGAGTAAGCGTGATCAGCTCTTGCCCACAGGAATTTGAATAAAGAATCAAATTGCACTCCCATGACTACGCATGGTAGTTGAATAATTGAAACCGGAATCAAAGAACCAAATTAAAACCATATTGCACATTCATGGCAAACAGGGAACTTGAATTATTTACCCAGAACCAGAATCCGGAATATTGAAACAAGAATAACATCGTAAACATATGATAAACAAGAAAAGCAAAATAGTGTGAACAAAAATATGAATATAAGCGGTCACATGTCACATAGAAATATATCGGAAATAAATAGATAGAGCAAACAATCCATCAATCACACACTTAGTTCGTCATGCACTTGCCTCCAATGAAGGGTTGGTATCATGCACGATCTGAAAAACCACCACCTAATCACAAACAAAACCTCAGCAAACACATTCAACATGCATATAAAACAATGAAAAAGGTGAACCTACTGCCCTATCCCATCAAAACGCAATAACAAGGAACGCCGCTTGCACTATAAACAATATTGTTGCTTCAAACATTTATATCTTGAAATATGAAAAGGCTATTACCGCAAACAAATACATTTTGGAAATCTACAGAACAAGGCCTACAACTCTTATGTGGAAATCATATTTTTATTATGCCATTAAAATGGTCTAATTTGCGCTTGAAAGCAGGCTTCACAATCTGTCTAGAAATTCAGACTATCCGCACTAAAACAATCATAACTGGAGTTCTACTTGCCCAATCAGGGTGTACTTTACCAATATGGAAAGCTAAGAAAAACCTCTACAACTTTGTCTATAGGCGTCTTGGCTGATTCCACTGTTTATCCCATCCAAAAATGGTTCAATCTACTACTATCCAGATTATGACATAAAAACAACAGTTATACTCAAAAATTCGTATCATCTAAACCACTTGAGATAAAATCGCGCCCTTTGGTCAGAAGATAGATATAAATATTATCTACAGCTTCCTAGTTATACACTTTCGCAGAAAATATCATTTTGATCTCCGAAACTTTGAAAAACCGAAACACTGTAAATCTGCCAACGTGCAGAACAGCCAATTCGAACCACAACAAACAAAACTCCTTCTCTAACCTTCCTTATCCACGAAATAAACCACTAAAACCACCCTAGAACAATTGATATGACAAGGGAAAAAGCCTCACCTATGGTTTCTTTAGAGAACTTGTGAGGAGACAATAGGGGAGACTATGATCTAACCCCTCCTTTTACTCCTCTCCTCCTCCTCGTTGCGTTTTTCTATTTTGCTTTTTATCCAAGTTATGAAGGCGGAGATCTAGGGAGAGCAATTTGTTGTAGAGGGGAGAGATGCGAACATAGGAGGTGGGAGTCGGTTCCCCTCTCTCTAAGTTTTAGGGAAAAACTAATGGGTTGGGTTTATGGGCCTTCTCATGTTGGCACACTTCTAAAGATATTTTTCTTTTATTTATTTCTGTTAACTTCTTTATTTTAACAAGTCAACCCAAACTAAAAAAACTAAATATATTTTAATACGGGGTATTACAATTTCTTTTTTAGTTTGATTGAAATAATGAATATGTTGCTGATTTTTTTGGTGTTGAATTATATCTTTTATCATAAGTGCATGGTTAAGGTAATCATGTCAATAAATTAGAAAAATCCCAGACACAACTATAAAAAAAGGTATTTAATCTTAGTTTTGAAACAAAGATATATATTGGTATATTTTCTGTATACACAGTTGAAAACTACCCTCTCCATCCCAAAATACAACTTCTAGCATTTAAAAATTCAACCAAAAATAAATAACAACTTTACTTTTAAAAAAATATGACAACTTCTCTACTAATTTTTTTCTCAATCAATTATAACCTTTCCCCAATTTAATTCTACCTACTTCCTTCATATTTGTGTCATACCCTAAAATTTATTATATTTTGTGACCGATAGTAATAATTAATTTTCCCTATGTCTTTTTTTTGTGTGTGTGTGTGTATATATATATATCCATATGACTACTGTGTGCAGTCTGCAATTTATTGTTATTTGTACATGCCGTTACAGTTTTATCATCATACCAATTTTTCTGACAAACAACACCTAGCAAAATATTGTGCCACAGTAGCAAAAAACACAACGCCCTAAAAACTACAAAATTTGGATGATCGAGACTCTAGGATAAAATTGTGGCACAGTAGCAAAAAACTCAACTCCTTAAAAACTACAAAATTCAGATGATCGAGACTCTAGGAGAAATAGCAAAACTATAACTGATCTTAATTAGATTTTCAAATATTGAGATTATTTCCAAAACAATAGACAACAAAACACACCTTGATTGGAGTATTATTTAGTGCCAATAAAGTTAATTATCTACATATAATATGATTCATTTCTGGCATATTAACCCCACACTTTCCTTGTGTAGTCTGCAAATGTTGTTGGCTGGGCATCTTTCATAGGACAGATTGATGAAACACAAACAAGTCAGGAAGGTGCAAAATCCCTGAAATTATGCTCTGAATTGAGTAAGACTATTAAAATAAATTAATCTACACATGTATTGGCTGCATTTTGTTTTATCATGACCGTTGATCATATTACGAATTTCTGCAAATAAAATATACCTTCTGGAACACCATAGGGTATTCTTGATTTTTTTAACTTTAAGTTTTCATTCCAAATTGAGTACAACTTCAAGCTTATTAATTCCTGAGTTTGGAATTATTGAATTAATTAAAACGATAAATTCAAACT